ATATATATCCTTTTCCAATTAACCAACCCACTCTACATCTCCTGTATGCATCCAGATATTCAGTACGGGTAACATTACAGCTCAGGTTTATATTTATTACCTTTATTCCTGCATCTGCTTTGCTGTGTGTTCGGACCATAGTTACTCATTCACAAGCTCATTTTCACCACACTCATTTAGCACAAGTACAGTTTTCTTCTGCTGTCCTCTTTGTAGCTCCACTGAAACAGTGTGGAGCACCTCTGCTGTGATAATGAGACAGGAGCAAACCCTGTTTTTTTCATTTTGTTTCCTGCTACAGTATAGGGCATAACCAGTGACCTAAACTACTCCAGTGCTTGAAGAGATGATGAGATTCCCTGATATATTAGCTTATGCTCTCCCTGCTGTGGGAGAGTTAATCTATGGTGGAGAAAGGGACGGATTGTTGGAGGCTAACTGCGTGGTTTTGGGAAACTGGAGTAATATTTTAACCTAAACTGTGACATAAAGTTAATTCCTCCACACTCATCCATGTGCCAGGACTTTCGTGAGGCTGTTCGGTCGACAGTAGGAGACCAAGGGCAACCTGCGCTGGATGATGAGAGACTTCGAGAGATTCTTAATGAGCTTCCTGATGTTTACACCCTGCACCGCACGATCCTTACTGAGCTAGAGAATCGAATCCAACACTGGTGAGCGATGGGACAGCATACATTACTGTTAAATACTTCAACACACACACACCTAAAACACATCAAGCTATTATTGAAAAAAAAAATCCTTTCCAACCTTTTTCTTCCTCTATTGTGTTGCTCAGAAAGCAATCTAAGGGCAGTGGGTACTTCTCTGTCATGATCTCACCTCTGTTTGTTCATTCAGGGAGGACAGCCAAACGATTGCAGATATATTCCTGAGCAGGAAAGCAGAGTTTTTGGTCTTTACCACCTACATCGGCCACTATGATCGGAGCATGAGTTTACTGGAGGACAGCTGCCGAACATCGCCCGCTTTTGCGGAGATTGTTCAACGTTTTGAGGTATGACCTATGACAGGGTCTTTTAACTGACTTGTGAAAGGTAGCACAAAATTCAAAATGGCATATTGTTAAAATTAACTATAAATTTTAAAAAAAAAGAAAAAAGAAAAGGTGTTTTTGAGAATCAAATGGTCTTTGCTGTGCTCAGTGAAAGCTGCACAGCTATGATTACATTTTCTTACTATAAGGACATTATTAGATAGTCAAGAAGTCAAGTAGAAAACCTATACTGTTATTGTATGTTCAAAAGAACAAAAACAGAGTTAGTGATGATTAAATGTAGGATACTTGTCTAAGTAGTTATGGATTTCTATATGCATATATGTGTGTGTACATGTGTGTATGACAGAGAGAGAAGAAATAGAGACATAAGGCTTTGAAAAGTCAGACACTAAGTAGCTAGAAGTCATCGTTTGATTTCAAGCAGCAGCTACATTCATCTGCCAAAAAAGGAGCAGTTATGGCACCCAAAAGACAAATAAAGACATTAAAAAATCTTTCAGAATGACAATTTAATCACCAAACCTTTCTTAAAATTTATGTTGCTTGCATTTACCAATGGCTTTTTGAACTTTCCCAACACAGGCACAAATTAATTAGCGACTAATTTTAGCTCCAAGGCTGCAGTTATAATTAGCCTCAATTAAACGAGCAGACAGAGGAATGTGTTTGTCTAACCAGAGAGCAACAGATAGGAAAGCCTTTAAGTTGATAAGTTTGGAGTATGAAAAACGATAAGTACAACAAAAACGCATTATAAGCATTTCTTAAACAGCTGTTGTTTTATTCTCAGTCGCATGTTATTTAGAGTTCAGAGCAGGTCAGTCTCAAGTTTGTTCTTGCTGTTTTTCTCCTCAGGGTTTGGTTACTCAAAGTATTATGCTTTTTAATAATGCCAGTTAATTGTAGATCAACGTCGAGTGGCACAGTGTACATGTGTTTTATTTATGGACAGAGGAATTTTCAATATTTTCCGTCCATTTTACAGACCACTAAGGAGAGGAGTTGGCTGTAAAAGTTTGCAGAGCTGCGCAGTTTTCTCCGTCTAATTTAAGAGCACCGGCGTTTAAACGTCCTTAGATTCTACTTTGTGCATTAATGCCAACGCAGTGAGCTTCTTTGTCTACCCTTTAAAACAAGAGGCTGCTGACAGAATAGTTTTTTTTTTCACTATGAATTAAAAAAGTGAAAAACTCAAATTATCACAAAAATACTATAAACAGAAATATGTTACACTGTCCATTACATTTATTTACAGGGCAAATACCTTCAGTACTTGCCGAGCCCCATTCTTAACAGTAGCATTGAACCAAGTCTTTCTAATGACTAACGAAGATTTGCATTTTTGTAGCTAGCAGTGTCTGTGTGAAATAACTAAATACAAGTTCAGGCACACACCCAAACTCACAAACTGCTGTGCTGACAGGAAGTTTGGGTTATTGGCCCTTGTTCACGTTTAAAATATGACTGATTCTCCTCAAAGCTCCTGTGATGTTGTATAGCTTGTGTGTCGATACAGGTGTCCTCTTTTTTGTGGACAGTTTCATTCCTTGCCTTTTTAATCACTCTGGCATTGTTTGACTTGTGTTCATGTGAGCTTCTGCAGTAAACGTGGCCCTTAAGGGCAGCTGTGATTAAGGGAAATAACAAATATGTATGTGTCTCAGGAGAAAAATCCAGCTGGGGAAAATGCCTCCTTTAAACATCAGCTTCTGCGGGTCATCGTGCGTGTGGCTCAGTATCGTATGCTCCTCACGGGTGAGCCAAATTTTAATTAAATCAGGACAAAGCGTCCGTCCTACAGTATTTAGATAATATCTTACTCAACATTGTTGTCTTCTTTACTCTCTGGAGGAATTCATTTCTTTTCTTTCTCTTGCAGATTACTTGAACAATCTCTCCCCAGATTCCAAGGAATATGAAGACACTCAGGGTACAGTAAACATATCACAAGAGCAGGCAGCAGTGTGCACAGAGGCTGCAAAGTTCACACTCTCTCCTACTCACAGGAGAGCTTTGCCAGCTTCTGTTTGTGGCTGTGTGTTTAGAAAGAATTTATTCGTGCTCATTTGGCATGTAGAAATGGCCATGAGAGAGCCAATTTAGATTTCTTTGTTTTTGGTGGTAACCCACCGAGGAGTCATTCGAAGTATTTTCTGCCTGAAGACAGTAATGTGTAATTCATGAGAAGGCACGTTGAAGCAACACTATCTCTTGCTGTATCTCCCATAAGGGAGCCACCTAGTCCAAACATGCAGACACTTCCAGACTCCTAACTTAATCACTTTGCACACAGAAGCAAGGAAAAAAGAAAGATCTCATCAGTTATACAAACCTTTAATGTGATTGTGGTCGTGACTGAAACGAAATAAATCCAGTTCAGCTTTATTTATGCCAAGTCACAATAGTACTGACACCTTAACTTTATGATATTGTAGAAAGAAACCAAACAATCCTCTCTGACGTCTCTACCCTGATCCCTCTGTCTGTGTTTGTTTTACTCAGCTGCCGTAGTAATCATGTCTGACATCGCAGATCAAGTGAATGACAGCCTAAAACACGGGGTAAGGGTCACACGTTAACTCTTGTACACACAACACCACCTGTGATGCAGAATCACACTTTTAAAAAAATCTTATTAAGAGCACACACACACAAATGCAACATTCATACAGGAGTACAATCAATGATACTGGTTTATAGACCTAGTTGAGAAGGAAAGTTCACTGCTCCCTTATTAATAGTGTCACTTTTCAATGTGAATGCATTATTAAATGCACACATTTAATAATGCATTCAACCCAAGATATCATCAAAATCACACTGTTTAAACAGTTCTCCTCTTTCTCATGTTGGAATATGAACAAATATCATTTAATCCTTTCTTATTGTCATGAAGACATTTTGCAGCCACACTAAACTGAGACATATTTGGTGATTCCCAACCTTTCCAGCTTTTGGAAGGAAAAATCTGATATTTTCAGTCAGAAGCAAATAAGCTAAAATTTCAGGAAATCCCCCCCAAAAGAAATAAAACACGTTGTGTAGTATATATTTGTTTATTTCTTCTAATCTACATCTACCTTATCCTTTTACCCTTTGTGAACCGTCTGAAAATACCTGAAAATGCAACAACTGCTGGATGTACTGACAGGAAACTGGGCACACTCTTCCCCACTTTTAAAAGCTGCAGCTGCGCTTTGAGAGTGAAATCTTAAATCAAACATTCATAGTAATAAGAGTCATAAGTAGAGACTCAAATCAGCATCCAGCTACAACTGTGTAGTTGGAGTCACATGTCTGGCATAATGACATTTTTGATTGGGCATGGTCTAAAGCAGGGGTGTCAAACTCAAATACACAGTGGGCCAAAATTCAAAACTGGAACAAGGTCGCGGGCTAACATTAATATTTATTGAAAAACAAATCTTCCTCCAGATTTAAGAATGAATCTCTTCTAATGGACTCAAACAAGTTTTTCTGAAAAACTGAATATGGAACAAGCAAAGCTTAATACTAAACAATATATCTATTAGCTGTATAAAACCAGTAGACCAGCTCTAATAATAATTTGGTATGGCTTCGCGGGCCAAATGTAGTTAGGCTGCGGGCCAAATTTGGCCCGCGGGCCAGAGTTTGACACCTATGGTCTAAAGCGAAACATATAAGGTATGTTTGTCTGATTTAAGAGATAGCTCCACTCTGGAGTCAGACAAAATATAAAAATATCTTGATGTTGTCAGGAAAATGACGATAATGCCCTTTCATCCATCCGTCTCTTATTTTGGCGTCTCACCCCTCTCCTTTCTTTCTGTCTCTCAGGAGAACTTGTTGCGTCTGGTCAACATAGAGTACAGTGTTCATGGCCAGCGGGACTTGCTTCAGCCTGGCAGGGTATGTGTCTGATAACAGTATTGTTTCTGCTTAAAGCTTGCCAGCCCACCCTGTCTGTGTTGCACCACTCCTTGCTGCCCTTTACACAATCATTCAGCTGGGAATCCCCACACCGCCTGGTTAAATAACATTAATTACCGCAGATGCCCTCTTTGTGTCAGGATTTGATGAGTTGTGAAATGCTTGGTTTGATTAAATCATGTTTGTTTTGTTTTTTTTAACCGTCAGATTTTTGTGAAGGAGGGCACGCTGATGAAGGTCAGCAGGAAGAGTCGTCAGCCCCGCCATCTGTTTTTGGTAAATGTTGTTTCCTGTTTGCAGGACATTGGTATTAAAGACTCATGTACCAGTCTCTTATTATACTAACTTTTTAAGATATGTGTGCTATTTGCTTAATTAGAACTTCTTATTTTTATTAAATGTGTAAAATGTAGAGTGAGGCATTTTCTGTCTGGTCTATTTCCATGTCCAGACTGAGCTATTAAGAGCAGGGTTTCCTGACAGGATGTTTCTGAATGCTGGCTTCCTGAGTCAGTTCTTTACTGACAGCACAGGGAAGGTCAACAAGAGCTCCTTAAAAACTGAGCGATCCATGTAGAGTTTTACAAGGCTAATTGTGTTTGGTAAATATTAGACTAGCATGCATTTAGCTCCTTCAGTTGATCCTTATTAAGTTCATGCGATATGATGATAAAGAAGTAGAGAAGGATGTCATTGATGAAACAGAAAGCATAAACTTAGTAACCACCTTAATACAATTGCTCTGTTTATTTACTCTAAAAATTCAGTTTGAAAAATCAATACAAAGATATGAAATATGAAATACTGCAATCAAGAGAGGTTGGGAAATTAAACGCCTTCGCATATTATCCATAGAGCATGACCGAGGTGGATTGTTTTTCCCTCCTGTGGTGTTTTTGAAATTTGTGGTCTGAGCTCGACACTAAAAAAACCCTCGTAAATGTCTCTTCTGGAGGAATATTGATAATCATCACAGCATAACTTTTATTTCCAAGCTTATTGGGATTAATGTTGGGGAGAGCATAATAAAACAAGACTGCAGGAGCTGGCAGTTTCCTCAAAGACGGTACTAAAATGCAGAGGGACAGTAAATAAAATTATGTACTGGAAAAATAATAAAAACTTTAATGATGCAATTTGACACCGACTTTGATAACCGTTGTCTCAAATATCTCATATATGTATAATCATAAACATTTATAAGTAGGAGTTATCAATTCACAGATCCCCTGCAGACATGAAATAATAATCTGCATATTTTTATTGGTTGTCTCACAACTTTAATCCTGGATTTCCTCATTGAAAAATTGAAAAATTTGGTATTTCAAACTGCTGGATATTATTTCATAAAAAAACACGTTGGAAGCACAGGCAAACTTTCCCTGTCAGGAGATGAATCTAAAAACGATCTTCTACTGTCAAACTATGCATGTACGTTGGTGTTCTCATTGGAGGGCAAACATACAGGGGACATGACACATGAGACGCAACCTACATAGAGGGTGACTGCACAGTTTTATTTACCATGTTTCAGAATAACCGATAAGTTCCTAATGAAGTGAAAATCGATTATTGGTTTCTTTTAGAAGAGGGTCTGATTGTGTTTTCATGCATGAGAAATTATTGTTTGTAAGCATTCAAATACACTGTGACTGTTTTTACTTTGTGCAAGAAAACGGCTGATAATTAAAAGGGAAAAAAAAATCCTGTTCTTTTTTAAATGTGAACACGGTGGTCAAGTTTTGCATTAGAGTGACGCCTACTGGAGAAAAGCTGCATATACATGAACTATGAACTGCTCAGCTGACTGTTTTAACTGCTGACTATTGTTTTTATGCTTCTAACAAAGCCTTTCATCTACACTCACTAACTGTGTCTCATGTCTGCCTGTTGTCAGATGAATGACGTGCTTCTTTACACCTACCCTCAGCAGGATGGCAAATATAGACTGAAAAACACTTTGCCCCTCACTGGGCTGAAGGTCAGTCTTAAGATTAGAGTCAGTAATGCTCAATCGCCAGCTTACATGCAAGTTACATCCATAAAAGCACATGGATATTTCAAGAATGTGTTTGAATTTCTTGTACGTTTTTTCTTCATGTCTGGATGTCTGATCTTGAATGATTGCTCAGGTCAGTAAACCCATTATTGAAAATGTCCAAAATGCACTGAAGATAGAGGCAGCAGACATCTCCATCACTTTGTCTGCAAGGTGGGTCACAATATAGAGCATCCTGTAAAAATGATCGATAATATCTGTGGTACTGATGGTGGTGAAAAAAAAAACAATGATTTTGCTACCAAAGAAGTCTAAAACCTTTGAAACTAAAGAGATGAATGTGGATACTATCACATTAGATGTCTAGTTGAATTGAAGCTTGTTTTGAGCTTTACTGTATATTTTGCAGTTCCTTTTTTGAAAGAGAGGACTGGTTTTACACTCTTAATCGCGCTGTGACTGAGCATATGAGAGGCTCTGTGACATTCAGCAGTTGCTCTGGAGAGGTGAGCAAACCCTGCTTCCAAACAACTGTGTTAATACTTTACTGACATTTCTTCAGTCATGCTTAACCGCACCAACCACAATGAGACTGATATATCTGTGTGCTTCTGTGTGTGTGTGTGCCAGGCCAGAGATCGCCTCCGGCTGACTCTAGGAGAGAAGGCTCCCACACTTGTTCCCGTCTCACAAGTGATGATGTGCATGAACTGCACCTCGGATTTTAGTCTCACTCTTCGCAGACACCACTGCCACGGCTGTGGACGGGTGAGCCACATACAAATAAAACACTGAGCTTTAAGATAGTTTAAAATCTACAGTTTAGACAGGATGCAGCAAACTGTAGCTTTCGCAAGTGTTAATCGTCATTAGAGCTTGTTTTAATGCGCTTTGTGGTTCCTTCGTATATTTGTGTCACAGATTGTTTGTCGGAGCTGCTCCAGGAACAGATACCCTCTGAAGTACATGAAGGATCGCATGGCCAAAGTGTGCGATCACTGTTACAATGAGCTAAAGAAGAGAGGTGAGAAAAATGTGCTCAAATACATTTGAATATCATATATTAAGAATTTCAAACTCAGTTTACATCATGAGTCACATGCAGCCGACTTTGACCTCAAATGGATTAGAACAGTGAAGCCCCCCCCCCCTTTTTTTTTAAGTATAAAGAAGTTTAATCACACATTAAATCCCTCAGTTATCTATATATAAGAAAAAGAAGTGCTATTTCAAAAACATGTCCCAGTTTCTCTACATTACAAAGAAATACTTACATTGAAATGTACTTTAATACTTTCTGTTGTAGTTAAGTGAATAATGTAAAACATTTCTTTCATTTAAATGTTCACCTATTACTTGATTACTGTGGTGTAGTACGAATGCCCCCATAGGGGCTGTAAAACTTCTGAAAATACAGTTAAAAGTAGAAAATCAATCCAAAATGTGACGGTGCGGATTGGAGTCTTTGGCAGGCCGCTTTGGGGCACTGAGCCATATGTTTGACAACCATCTCCTTTGTCTTCACCTGTACATGCAGGTCCTTTTGATTAGTTAACTTTATGCTCGGACTGAGTGTGAGTGGAGTCAAACAGAGCTGGAAGATTAAAATGTTTATTTTACCAAAGGTACAATACTGGGCAAGAGTCTTGAGTCGCCCCTCCTTTCTTTATATTTTGTCAGAAGATCTGAAATAGATGCATTGATTTAGTGAAACGTGTGCAAACAAACAGGAAAATACAGGGAAATATGTACCTTATAATATTGTTTAAAACTGCTGGTTCATCCCTTCAGTTAGGTGTCTTTGTATGCTTAAATGATTCATAGGTCAGTAAACAAACAAACAAATTAAGAAATTCTCTCAAAAATGGTCAAGAATGTGGATGGGACTGAGTAAAAAGCTGCCAACATCCAAAGAACTTTGAAAGACTGTGAGAAAGCCTGGAGAGCTATCGCTCAAAACCACTACAAAAAACAAAAAATCAAGAAAGTCTGGCTCCTCTGGAAGTCTGGAAGCAAAATACAAAGAAATGAAGCTCAGGACCTTTGAAATGTGTATTCGGAAAAGACAGGAAGTTGTACTATTGGAAAATAAAAGAAACAATCTAAATTAAAGATGAAACTCCTGGGCTGCTATTATGTACAACAGCTTTTTTTACTGTCAGCTGCACCACGGTACAGTTACCTGTTACAGGTAAGTGGTCAGACAAAATAATAAATGTGATTGTGTTATCATTGCATTAGTATATTACTTGAATTCACACAGTTGTTACTGTGCAGCTTTCATCGTTATTCGTGCACGTCTTCATAGTCACAACAAATATGCCTGTGCTGTGAGTTCTCATTTGATTGGGTTGTAGCAGCTGTCCTTCACGCTGGTTGAAAGAGTGTGGGCTCTCTCCACAGGCGGAGATGCTGCTGTGATGTCAGGGCAGACTAGCCCTCGGTCAAACCGCTCCAGTCGTCCGCTCTCCACCGTGTTCCAGAACATTCATCCTCCCAATATTTGGAGACATCGGAAAGGCACTGCATCCTTCACACAGGTAAATTCAACAGAGTCTGTGCATTATGAAGGTTAATGAATCGCTGGTAATGAAGTGACAGCTATGCCATTTTATTAAGTAAAACTGCCATTGTTACACAGGTGACAGTGTCGGAGGAGGGCTCAATCAGTGGCAGTCTACAGCGAAGCAAGAAGAGCAAAAGGAACTGGAAGAGACTGTGGTTCCTCCTAAAAGACAAGGTGCTTTACACCTACAGAGCCCAAGAGGTGAGGGGAAATATGCACTCCCCTTTAACCTAAACCACACATATTTTACACCTATACAGACTGCAGTGGCGAGGTTTAATAACAAAGTGTTGTATGTTATAACCTGTTTAGTTTCCTCTGATTTATCTTCCATCTGCAGGAGAAGGTAGCGTCAGAGAGTTTACCTCTGTTGGGTTTCACAGTGAGGCTGCCTGACAAGCAGAGGGGAGATGAAGAGGCTAATGTCTTCCAGCTGTACCACAAAAACACTTTGTACTACACTTTCAAAGCTGAAGATAACAACACAGCCCAGAGGTGAGAAGCACATTTACCTGATAGCCCATAAAATGGAAAGAGGCTTAGCTCTTAGCCTGACTCAGTTTGAAACACAACAAGCATTACTGCTGTATGGATGCTGGTGTTGATCTTGGGAACTCACAGTGTCTTTGCCAGTAAAAATAACTAAATGATGGCTTCGCATTGACGGGTTGTTGCTTTCTGGGAGAACAACTTGACCTTAACCCACAGACCATCTACAGCAATTCTTCAACTCAGTTTAAGCATGAATAGCACCAAATTTGGGGAGAAAACAGAAAAGCTACCATCCTTGGCCAAGATAGACTAATATTAAAAACTGAGATATAAGACATAAAATTAGCTCAGTGAATAACGTAGCCGCCCGATAGCCCTGGTTATTGTTAGGTGGTGCAGACTAAAATGACTCTTTTCTGATCTAAAATCTTTTCCTTGTGCAGATGGGCAAACGCCATGGAGGAAGCCACAGTTTTATAGAATAAGCTGAAAGAAAAGTCTGCCTTTCTCTTTGTACACACTTGCGCCCCTCAAAAAACTTCTGACTGTGAAACCACAGCGAAGAGGAACAAACACTGTTTTATTACTGCAGGTTTACAAGTTATAACTTGCCAGCTGGACTGAAGAAAAGAAGACATTGTGTTCTTTGAGAAGGGACATGATCACCTACTTTGTCAACCTCCAAGTGTTCCCTGCCTGCTGGTAGAGCAGGTGTGATGCTGAGAACCACGAGATGCACTGGCCCAGATACCTGACAGTGTGGAACATTACAATGATGTGACCTGTATTTCCCCCAGCAGCTGATCAGCGTCACTCCTCCAAATTGTGGTGAAATGCTGTCGATTATTTCCAAGTTTTATTACTAACAATATTTTGAATATGTTGAATACTTCAGAAGAGGCTGAAACGATAATAACACCTGTCAGCTTAACTCAGAAATGGCCTCATCTTTAGTCAAACATGCATTATTTATGCCTTAATTTCAACATTTGTTCTTGCACTGGATCTCCATAAATATGCTCTGAAGCACAGGCTGCATCAAATAGGGAGTAACTTTATATGTATAATAGTGTCGATTGCTTTGCCATGTACTGTATTGTGGAGATGAACGTGAATAAGTAGTTTCTATGCCTTTTGCACTGATTTGAAAAAGAAATGATTGTACAAATGAGTGTCATTCATTACTGGGACCAAAAGGTTCAACTACTGTACTTAATATACTAGCTACTGGGAAAATGTGGAAAACTATGTCTTTAACATTTTAAATCCCTATAATAAGTATATTATAAATCCATGTTTGTATAAGACTCACTGAGCTGGAGCGGATCTGCAGACGTGGACTGAAACATGAATCACCGATTGCACTGATCTACATAATCAGTGTTTTGGACTTTGTACTGTACTAGATGTTTTCTTATGTTTATTTACAAGACAATAATTTGAAAACAAAGTAAAAGATACTATATGATCATACAAAGAGTCAGTGTCTGTGCTTTCTCTTCATTCTGCTCGTGTCCTCTAGATGGCAGGTGGACTATATTTGAAAGCAGGTGGCAGGCTGTCATTGATTTTCTGTTACCGTGTCCTTGCTCGTGGTTTACAACATATACTTTAGATTAAAATAGGAAAAATTCAACATGCAGCAGCTTCTAAATAAACCTAAAGGTGCCTGGGCTGACAAATAGTCCATGTGACGCTTGTTCCGAGACCAAGCTGGTCAGTTTTTCAGCTCACGTGCAGAGCTTCTCGGGAAGACACAGTGGGACTAAGTGATACACAGACCAGTGTGCTGTTGGGCCAAAGACAGGCCAGGCCTGTTCTGCTTCTCATCTACCCCTGAGGCTTCCTGACCCAGAATAATATCAGGCAGAAAGTTTGCTTTCTGGGGCTACTGAAAAGTTGCAGACACCTCGTCCTACATAAAGGAGAGACCATTCATCACTGTGTTCTTCCTCTCTAGCCCCAGTTCTGCTTTCTCCCTACTCTGTTTGCTTTCATCACATATCTTCAGTTGGGACTTCTCTGCCTACGTTGCATAGCAGTTGCCAGATGCCACAAGGAAAGCAGGGTACAAACCTAGTTTACCTAAATGTAGAACTTCTCTGTCAGCTTCCAAATGCAAATTTAGTGTGTCCGTATTTAAAATACTTCCCCTTAACTTTTTTTCCTTCTTCTAAAAACAGGAACTCATTGCAAGGGCATATATGAGGGCATATATGACTAGAACAGGTATATCCGGTGGCACTTTTAATGATTATTTATGTGCTAGTTAAGAAGCACAAAAAGAAAGCCTTCTGTGTGCTTGACATGTCTTTTTCAGTGAGGCAGGAATGGTGTCATAATCCGGTCTTACTTCCACATTGCTGCAGGCGGGAGCAATGCAGAGTGAAGCAAATAATCAATCGTACACACAGCCTACTCAATAAGGTCAGATGCATGCAGCTCTGTTATATGTGGTCTGTTACCATTAACAACTGATGCTACGGAGCCGCTTGAAATCTATTCTGAGGTGAGCTTCCTTACCTGTGGCTTTTTACTCACAACGCACCAACAGCACACACTCGACTTTATTTAACGACAAACTCACACTGACACGCTCGGACCGCCAGTCTTTGTCTGAGAAGGGAATGCAGCGTTTGCATTGATGTCGTGAGCTACAACAGGATAGCTTCTCATCTTTCATAGTGCTGTGTGGGCAGCATTGCCTCAGGGGAAAGGAAAAGAGTTTATTATGCAAGAGCTGGATGTTTAATAAAAAGAAAGACTCCGTCCCCTTGACATTGGCTTGACATTTCTGGGTTTGCACCTTGTGTTTCTCGTTCTCACTCAGAGATGGGGAGAGGAAGTGGAGAAAAGAAAAGATACAGAGAGGCTGGAAGAATAGAGGGACTCACTCTTATGTCCCACTTTGCAAACTCTTTGCAGCCTACACTGCCAAGTCAATGTTACACCTATTCCACCTCCCCTAAAGCTTTAAATAGCCCGCTTTCCCTCAAAAGGACAAACCAGAGAGAAACACACAGCCTTCAGCACACTCTGCACCTCCGACTGAACATACATTATTCCTGCTGCCTAAACGGGTAGTCTGCATTGTGCCTTCTGTTCTCTGGTGATCAGTGTGTCATAAACATTTAGAAAGAGATAATTAAACATATGTCAGCAGGACCAGCAGCCAACAATAAAAGGCTTTGAGATATGACATCTCAGAGGAGGCTTTTGCAAACTCCAAACACTTAAAAAAATGCTTGTTATTTGGTGACCAGGCTTTAGAGCTGTGTTAATGAGAGTTAATTTAGAAGACTGACATCACACTCGGGACTTTCCATTTAAAGTGGATCTTGTTTTGTTTTGTTTTTTTAATTCTGACCGTAGAATCACTTTATTTGAACCATTTTAATTAATAAAAATAAAGAAAAGCCTGATAGGTTAAAGAGTGTGACGACTGGGGAACAAATAGATTTTCAAAGCAAACAAATAATACCTTTCAAATCTATGGAGCTCACTAACAAGAATCTTGTTTCTAGTTGAAAATGCAGAAGTGAAAAGGTAACCTTGTCAACAAACATCAAAATGTTTTACCCTCATGCCCTTCATCCAGACGTGAAGGCATTATTTTTTCTTTTTGTGCACTGCACTTCAGGTGTAAAAACATCAAGTTGTAGTTTGCTTGGAGTTTATTTAGAAGACCATGGGAATCAAACATAAGCTTCGGTGGCCCAAATAGGACTGAGCCAACACTCCACTGAACTGAATTTGTGCTTTTAATAGTATTTTTATTTTTTATTTTTTATAAATAATGCAACAGTTTTCCAAACAATTAATTGCCAGTGACAGATAAATTCTTGTTTTTCACTATCTACTATGTAAATGGCTGAGCAATGAGTAATTTTAAAATGTAAGCCCAAAGAGTAGTGCTGGCAGATTTCTTTCATTTACCACAGTACCATATCTGCATTATGCAGAAAAACTAAGACAACTGGTCAAATTTCACTTATTTTTCTGATATTAAGATATTTCAGGGAGCAGATGTGTAGGTAAAATTCATTACACTGACAGAAAGCAGAGTTTCACTGGTCCAACCGAGCTGGTGAATTTTGGGTTGTATGAATCAGACATCTCTGTAACAGACAATATATTAGCTGGAGGAAATTGCAACCAACACAGAGTTCAAGCACCCGCTGGTTTATTCTATATAGCCTCCATAAAAACGATGAAGCACTGCTTTTCCACTTTGTTTTTGTACAGATTTAATAACATTAACTGTGTTAATTCACAAAGTCAAGTTGTGGTGGAGTTTCCGCCACAAAAGCAAGAAAGCTGATGTTACACACTTATCCCTTAAACATGGGAAACGATCTGTTTATCCTAATACTTGTAAATGGAAATGCTCTAAATGTCTTTTCCACAGAGCAATCGGGAGATGCTGCTGTGTCTCTCTAGCATTATGCATGAAACTAATTCATCACACAGTCTTTATCTGCAACTGTCAGGCACCCCCAAATTTTTTTCTTCCTATTTTATAGCTGATGCTATTCTGCTTAAATCAGCAGTTATGATGTGCCTTTTTACATTTGATTTTTTGAATTGTACAAAATAGAGAAAATAATCTTTTCTAAATTTAAAATTCAAATGTATCCTCTATTTACAGCAACAAAAGAAGCAGCTTTGAATAACCTGACGGCCAAAATAATTTAAAAAAAAAAGCCTTACACCTGTAGTTGACCATAATAAACATTTAAATAATAAACTCACAACTGAGTATGCACTAAAACCCATGAAAGAAACCTCAGCTTCAAATGACGAAGCCTCTTCCTTAGCTTCCTAGCCCACAGAGCCACATAGCCATATGCATCATCTGCATGCATAAGGAGTTTCTATGTAGATGATCATTCTCTCTTCCATCTCTGCAGGCTCAATTTAACATCCGCCTGTTCTCCAGCCTATGATACCACTGGTGGATCATCACAGTGTGTGTATGTGTGCATGCGTGTGCTGGAAAAAGAACAGAATAACAGGGTTTCTTGAGCTTTGAGGGTGCCTCAGTGAGAGTCAGAAGAGTCGGTGAGCATTGAAGCCGTTAGTGCACACACCTAGTCTGCAGACTTCCTGTGTCTACCATGAGTCAGAATCTGCTTGTTATGTAAATCCACAGAGAAGTGAGGGGGACACCGGCACACCTGTGCCCTGCCAGCCTGCTCCTGTCCAGGTTTTTTTTCCTTCCCTTTTCACACAGAGCAGCAATTACTTATTGCTCCCAGTCATTGAACTATGACTCATCCTGGAGGAATTAGGCCCTCAATCAGCCAGTATGTTCTATAGCTGCCTCTAATCAGATGACGATGAATACCAACTTGGGCTTAAATCCCCCTTTACTTGTGCTGACATACAATTATTTAGATCTATGTGTGCATGTGTGGGGGTGAACACAGGCATGAAACAAATAAAGAGTGTGGATAATCTGGAGTGCCTGTTTAGAACAAGAAAAGATCCTTCTTGGTACCGGAGCCAAATCTGCCACCTCCTCACCAGCAAAACCTAGCGCAAACCTCAAAACTACCCCCGCAGCCTACAGTCCCAGCCACGTGACCCCACCCCCTGCCACACAAACACTTCACGTGGAAAAAAAAAGACTCTTCCCCCACATACTGTAATCTAGGGCATACTCACCAGCAATGCGGATCTTTATGCACAGTTATAATGTGTTGGGTCGCTTTTTCATATTTATAACTCATATAGCCTCATATATGATCAACAGGTCTGCTGTGACGAACACGCCCGTCAACTTCAAACAGGCTTACATGTCAAGTGACACGCGTGACTGAAAAGTGATAGACTGTGTGTGTATTTGCCTGCATCTGTGCTGTGTTTGTGTGTGTTAAGGGAATACTCCCACCCCTGAGGGGGGAGAAAAAAAAGAAAAAAAGTATTATGGTAAGTGGCACGGCCCTAAATTCAATGAGGGCAGCTAAGTGTACAGTGCCCCGCCACCGCTTCACAGACTACCCTGTGTGAGTCTGTGTGTCTGAAAGAGAGAGAGAGAGGGGGGAGTGAGTGTGTGTGTCTGTGTGTGTGTTTGTGTGCATACCAGGTAAACGTCACAGCTTGCAAAGAAAGCCCCTGCGCTGCGAGCGCGCGCCACACTTCCTCAATCGACGGAATCACAGAGAGAAAAAAAACACTAGAGGAAGAAAAAGAGCAACTTTCGTCGAGAACAACCGCCTGGTTTGCAGGACAAGGTGAGTCTGCCATTACAATCCTTTTCAGGCTTCAGTCGAGTGGGTTTTTAGTAGCAGAGTACGGGTTTTACGTCTAAACTTTACAGAAAGTTACAGAAAACAGTACCGCTTCGTCTGCTTCTTTCATCCTTTGGAAAACCTCACTGTGAGGGTGAGGCGAGTAACGCTAAACCCTGGCTAACTGGTTACAGTTTTTCTTCCTCGCTGAAAGCGTTAGCTGTTGTAGCGCAGTGAAAGTTTAGCCAGACACGTTTCATTTCTATGAAAAGTCAACAAGGCAGCTGGCACTACACAGCTGTTTTGGTTAAAATAATAACCCCTGACAACTTTTCCGAGTAGCGACTGGAGCTGCTTCAGTGAAACAGTGCACAGGAATCCGTGACCCCGTCACACTTGCTGACGCTACGGGGTCACAAAATGTACTGACAGGTGAATTATCGCGACCTACTGATCTATACCCACCACCCCTTTGGACTGGAACATCTGCAAGCATCTGCGGCCCTGTCTTAACACAGTCGGGTTGCCAGTAACTGCATGCAGTATGTCGGTAATTCTGCTTATGTGGAATCCGTTAAGTGACATAATATCACCAGGGATGAGGAGGAATGTGAGCAGGTCTGGACAGCAAGGATGGAGGAGTAAAGATAAAAAGAAGAAAAGGGAGAAAAGGGAGAAGGAACAGTTATTTACTTGTCATTAAGACAATCTGGCTGCAAGCTGCTGTCTGAGTCAGACGTGAGGTGACATCTGCGTTCAGCCAACTGACAATCGACCACATCCTTTAGAGAATAAAGAGAGAATCAGATGCACTGACTGATTCTCGGTGAATGTGACCGTCAGAGTTTAGTTTTTCATTATGCGCAAGACTCAAATCTAGATAGGACCTGTGTCAACCTCAGCAATGGTTTAGGTGTTCTGCGCGATCACATGAGGCGTTCAAAAGTGTTTATGAGGGGGTAATTACGTCGAGGAAGAAAGGCTCTTTTCCATACCACGATGAAACACAGTCAGGCTCTCAGAATCAGGTATTATGTTACCATTTCAGTCAGTAAAAGCGATGTTAGTATTCTTCTGTGTGGAAGAAAATTAAAATTTTAATTGAACTTTAAATTAAGCAAAGGTTCAGAGGAGAGTACAGCCATCAAATTATGTTTCAGTGCTCAGGGGTTTATTTTTTGTAATGATTTTACCACATTGCCTTTGTGAATGAACAGCGTGTAATGGTTTTTGATACAATTATTAAGCAATAATAACAGAAATCAGTAATTGTGTGGTTTGTTAGGTCAGACATTAGGAAGTAGACAACATAAAGTTGAATAACAAGCTTCTAGAGGATGTTTACCAGTTACAGTATGCTGGGGAGGTAACTAGACAGGACAATTTGAAACTGCTCACAGCTGGTTGGGAAATCAATCACTATTGGCCTGAAACACACAGCATGCCTGCTGTTGATTAACTCCCAAAAGCCCTGGCATCACAGCTCCCAGCAGCAGTACGTGAGTGAAAATGGTTGCATGCTTTTTTACTTGCCTGCATCTTTTATTCCGTCTTACTTTTCTGAGTCTGAGTGTAGGCGGTTACAGTTTCAGGCTTGTGATAGCAGCTAGGCTTTCTTTGGAGCACAGCATGCATTTGGATCAGTGACATGTTGAGACTAGCTCTGACTTTGTAGTGCTAGGAAACACCTCTGGTGTTGCAGCTGCAACCTGTCAGAAACTGCACACATAGTGATAAGGAACCAAACAAATGTGACTTTGTGCTCACATTTTAAATGTGTATCAGTGGCAATAAGAAAATAATAATTAAAGACTCCATGGGTGTAACAGTTAACAGGAGTTACCTAATGTATTGCACATATTGAAACTAGTGGTGTTTGGGTTGTTATAGAGAAAAGTTGTGGCACTGTCTGCAACACTTGTGGAGTTATGCAAGCAGCAAATCATGCGTGAGGTAACAAGCACCCAGCACAAAGGGGGACATTGATCGCTCATTATGTGTCACCACTGGAATTTCACTTCTAATGCAAAAGAAATCCAGTTATTCAGGTATTTCCTCTGTAGGTAAAAAAGTGAATGATTTTTTTCTCTTCAGTTAGGAAAAATATGGAAAATATATACATGACATAAAATTCAGGTCATGT